TCATGTTGTGGGGTCAGTTATTTTATGTTGGGGTCATGTTGTGGGGTCAGTTATTTTATGTTGGGGTCAGAGTTACTTTATGTTGAGGTCATGTTGTGGGGGTCAGGGTTATTTTATGTTTGGGGTCATGTGGGGTCAGAGCTACTTTATGTTGGGGGTCATGTTGTGGGGTCAGATACTTTATGTTAGGTAGGTCATGCCGGGGTCATTCTGGGGTAACACCTACATCACACTGGGGACGTAGAGGTCTCAACATCCCTGGGGTTCGAAGGTAACTAACGCTGGGGTCATTTAGAGGTCAAATCAGGTCATTTAAAGGTCACTGCATGAGTTTACAATGTTTACAATGTGAGTGAGAGAATCCTGACTGAGTGGCCAATGGCTCTCCCATCCTTCTTTCACCTTCACCTATCCCCTGCTGTCCTCTAGGTGCCTTATAGAGCTATACTTAGTTCTCTTTTAAAGCTTTATAGAGCTCTAATAGGGAATTTTGAACTATATAGAGTTTGTCATCTCTTAATTCTGGTGAGGCTATATTTAAAGTCTTCTAAACCGTATGGAACTATATTTAGCAATGCTTTAAATAAAGTAGTTATATTTATTTTTATTTTAGACCGTATTTAGGTGTATGTATTTCTTATAAACTAAATACTTGCGCCTTTAAGATTACACATAAGATCTGTCGAGTCAGTTTATTTCCTTTAAAAGACGTGACTTTACCTCGACGAGTGCAAGTGTGTAATGTTGGAACACGACACCGACTATATTATTATTATTATTATTATTATTATTATTATTATTATTATTATTATTATTATTATTATTATTATTATTATTATTATTATTATTATTATTATTATTATTATTATTATTATTATTATTATTGTAGGAGTGGGGGAGGGAGAGGTTAGGCTAGGGTGGTTAATCTTTAGGTGAAATAAGCTGGGGTGAAAATTCTTCAGGTGATAATTATTATTTTACTAGATAACAATAATGATCAGTTTTATGAATTATGGATTAGGAAAGTCAGATTTTGAATAAGTTTGAAGAAAATTGAGAAATGTAAAGTCAGATTTTTACCTCGTATAAAAAAAAATTGGACAAGGGAAGGGTAGGGGGAAGGAGGGAGGGGGTGGGGGGGAGTCAGTCAGTCAGTTAGTGTCGTCCATCGTGGTAATGTCGTGGAGGGAAAGTGAATTAGCAGGACAGTGCCGCCACTTCCCTCCCTCACGACTCCCCGACAGTACTACCATTGATTCCCGCGCTTTTATTGCCCACCGTTGCCACATCATCACCGCATCCTCCTTCCTCTCTCTCTCCTCTTCATCCATCTCTTTCTTATTCTGCCGCCATCCCTCTACCTCTAAAGAGTCTCTCGGGGGTTTATACTTGTCCCTCCGAAGATGGGAGATAGAGGAAAGGTGGATAAATGAGGTGGGGAAGAGAGAATAGTGGCAGGGTGTTTGTCTGAGGTGATCGGCCCTGGGTGGTAATACAAGACGCCCTGCTGACCACCCGGGTAAATTAAACTCTCTGAAAAAGAACCTTAATTTTGTCCAGACTCTGAATCTCTTTCCCTCTCTCTCTCTCCTCTTCCTGTCATTTTTGGACCTCTTCTTCCCCTTTTTGGTTACCTTAAATTATTCCGTATTTTAGGGATATCTTACTTTAAAATTTTCCTTAATTTTAGGAATTATTTGCTTTAGCAGTTCCTTTATTTTTAAGATTTTAAGACTTAAGAATTTTAAACTATATCATCCCGTATTTTTTTTTTAGATGTTTTACCTTAAATCTTACTTTAATTTTAGGTTTAATTTAACTTAAATATTCCCATTCAACTTTTATTCTGAACCTTCCCTTAAATTTAGGGTTTAAGACTTTTAGTGAATATTTTTTGGGGTAAATGTGTTTTATAAATGGTTTAGGGAAATAAGGATTAGGTAAAGTTGTTTAATAAAAGGTTTTAGGGAAATTGTTTTAGGTTAGGATGTTTTATTTCCGGTTTAGGTAGAATTTTAGGTAAAGGTTTAGCATTATTGCACCTGATATGTGTAGGGAAGGTGGTAGGAGGAGGTGTGGTTGGGAGGTGTTGGGTGAAGGGAAGGAGAAGGGGTGTGGTAGGAGGGAGGGTGTGTAGGGGGGTGTGGTGAGAGATGTGACTGGCCATGATCCAGGAGGGGCGAGGTGAAACATGCCCTCATCACACTCCCCCTCACCCCTACCTACCCCCACTACCACTACCCCACCACCACCCCCCAACTACCACTCACCACCACCCCACCACCACCACCACCACTACCACCCCACCACCACCCCACCACCCCCCAACACTACCCCCACTACCAACCCCCACCACCACAACCCCACCACCACTACCCCCACTACCACCCACCCCACTACCACTACCCCACTACCACCCCCCACTACCACTACCACAACACCCCCACTACCCCCCACTACCACTACCCCCACCACTACCCCCACCACTACCACCTCCCCACTACCACTACCACCCCACCCTACCCCCACCACTACCACCACACAAACCCCCACTACCCACTACCCCACCACAACCCCACTACCACCCACCACCACCACCCACACACCCACTCCCCACCACCCCCACCCCCACTACCACTACCCCACCACAACTAACCACTCACCCCTACCACCATCACCACTTCACCCACCACCATACCACCACACCACCCCCACCACCCCCTACCACCACCACCACTACCCCCACCACCACCCACCAACCCACACCACCACTACTCACACCACCCCCAACACCACCACCTACCCACCCCACCCCACCACCCACCACACCACCCCACCACCACACCACTCCCCCACCACCCCCACCACCCACACCAACAACCCCTACCACCCCCGCCACACCCCCATTCCCATACAACCCATCGATGTCTCCCCCCCATGTAGGCCTCCTCCTCCTCCTCTCCTCCTCCTCTTCCTCTCCTCCTTCCTCCTCCTCTTCTTCCTCCTTCCCTCTGTTCTCTTCATCAAATATACACACACACACACACACACACACACACACACACACACACACACACACACACACACACACACACACACACACACACACACACACACACACACACACACACACACACACATATATATATATATATATATATATATATATATATATATATATATATATATATATATATACTAATTACTCCAGGCTAATGAGTGACCTCACTGTTAAGGGTCAGAGGTAAGATAAGGTCAGCTATAAGTCATGAGTTGCAGGTAGTAATGATTTAAGCAAAATGGGTTGTGATGACCATAGATTTGTGAGGTTGTACATATTATAAATATTATTATTATTATTATTATTATTATTATTATTTTCACATCATCATAATATTATAAACTAAAGACTCACAGATCAAGAAGCCCAAGTTTTAATAGATCTTATAAATAAATTAAAAACTAACAAACTCAACTATTTATATATATATATATATCAACTAAGGACGTGTATAATAAACATGACGTTAATGAGTTGTGATAAGTCTTGAGAACAACAAACAAAACACGTTGGTAATACTTTTTTGGCTAAGTTGGTAATACGTTTGGTGTTGTTGGTAATACTGTTTTGGGTTAAGTTAGTAATACTGTTTTGGTGTTAAGCTGGTAATACTGTTTTAGTGTTGCTGGTAATACTGTTTTGGTGTTAATTGGTAATACTGTTTGGCATTAAGTTGGTACCAATGTTTTGGTGTTGTTGGTAATACTGTTTTGTGTTGATTGGTAATACTGTTTGTGCAGTTGGTAATACTGTTTGGTGTTGATTGGTATCTGTTTGTTTAAGTTGCTAATATATTTTTGGTGTTAAGTTGGTAATACTATTTTTAGTGTTAAGTTGGTATGCTGTTTTTGATAAGTTGATCTATTTTGGTGTTAAGTTGGTAATACTGTTTTTGGTGTTAACTGTTTGGTGATGCCAGTTGGTAATACTGTTTGGTAAGTTGGTAATACTGTTTTGGTGTTAGTTGGTAATACTGTTTTGGTGTTGAGTTGGTAATACTGTTTTTGGTGTTAAGTTGGTAATACTGTTTTGGTGTTAAGTTAGTAATACTGTTTGGTGTTAAGTTGGTAATACTGTTTGGTGTTAAGTTATTGTCTTTTATTTTGATTGTTAAGTTGGTATACTGTTTTGGTATTAGTTGTGGTAATACTGTTTGGTGTTAAGTTGGTATGCTGCTGTTTTGGTGTTAAGTTGGTAAACTACTGTTTTGGTGTTAAGTTAGTATACTGTTTGATGGGTGCAATACTGTTTTGGTATTAAGCTGGTAATACTGTTTTGGTGTTAAGTTGGTAATACTGTTTTGGTGTTAAGTTAGTAATACTGTTTTGTTATTAAGTTAGTAACACTGTTTTGGTGTTAAGCTAGTAATACTGTTTTGGCATTAAGTTAGTAATACTGTTTTGGTGTTAAGTTAGTAATACTGTTTTTGGCGTTAAGTTGGTAATACTGTTTTACGTTATGGTAAATCTGTTTTGGCGTGTTGGTACAATACGTTTTGATGTGTTAGTGGCCAATACTTTTTGGTGTTAGTTGGTAATACTGTTTTGGTGTTAAGTTGGTAATACTGTTTTGGTGTTAAGTTGGTAATACTGTTTTGGTGTTAAGTTAGTAATACTGTTTTGGTGTTAAGTTGGTAATACTGTTTTGGCGTTAAGTTGGTAATAATACTGTTTTGGCATTAGTTGGTAATACTGTTTTGGTGTTAAGTTAGTATCTGTTTGGTGTTAAGTTAGTAATACTGTTTTGGTGTTAAGTTGGTAATACTGTTGTTTGCATAAATTGGTAATACTATTTTGTGTTAGAAATAATGTCTCTTTGGTTGTAATAATTGTTTTGGTGTTGTTGGTAATACTGTTTTGGTGTTAAATTCATTAATACTGCTTTGGCATTAAGTTAGTACACTGTTTTGATGTTCAATTCGTTATTCAATAATTTTTCGATGTTAAGTAAGTAACACTGTTTTGCAATTGTTAAGTATTGTACTGTTTGGTGTTAAGTTGGTAATACTGTTTTGGTGTTAAGTTGGTAATACTATTTTGGCATTAAGTTGGTAATACTGTTTTGGTGTTAAGTTGGTAATACTGTTTTGATGTTAAGTTGGTAATACTGTTTTGGTGTTAAGTTGGTAATACTGTTTTGGCATTAAGTTGGTAATACTGTTTTGGTGTTAAGTTGGTAATACTGTTTTGATGTTAAGTTGGTAATACTGTTTTGTTTTTGTTTCAGAGAGTTTGTCGGGCATTGTCCTGGAGAGCGATAAGGATGATGAAAAGATGAAGAGTAAGTACATGATGTTTTGTGTTGAGTTTATATTGTGAGTCACGTGGTTGTGTTTATGAGTCACGTGGTTGTGTTTATATTGTGTCTGCTGATGTGAGTCACGTGGTTGTGTTTACATTGTATCAGCTGATGTAGTCACGTGGTTGTGTTTATAGTCACGTGGTTGTGTTTGTGTGTCTGCTGATATAGTCCGTGGTTGTGTTTATATTGTGTCTGCTGATGTGAGTCACGTGGTTGTGTTTTTGTGTCTGCTGATGTGAGTCACGTGGTTGTGTTTATGAGTCACGTGGTTGTGTTTATATTGTGTCTGCTGATGTGAGTCACGTGGTTGTGTTTACTTGTGTCTGCTGATGTGAGTCACGTGGTTGTGTTTATGAGTCACGTGGTTGTGTTTACATTGTGTCTGCTGATATGAGTCACGTGGTTGTGTTTACATTGTGTCTGCTGATGTGAGTCACGTGGTTGTGTTTACATTGTGTCTGCTAATGTGAGTCACGTGGTTGTGTTTACATTGTGTGTCTGCTGATGCTGGAGGTCACGTGGTTGTGTTTGTGTGTCTTTCTTTGATGTAGGTCACGTGGTTGTGTTTCATTGTATCAGTGATGTGAGTCACGTGGTTATGCTTACATTGTATCAGCTGATGTGGAGTCACGTGGTTGTGTTACATTGGCCGTCTGCTGATGTGAGTCACGTGGTTATCTTGATGTATCCTTTGATGTGAGTCACGTGGTTTGTGTTTACATTGTGTCTGCTGATGTGAGTCCGCGTGGTTATGTTTACATTGTATCAGCTGATGTGAGTCACGTGGATTTGTGTTTATGGAGTCACGTGGTTGTGTTTTGTTGTGTCTGCTGATGTGAGTCACGTGGTTGTGTTACATTGTGTCCGCTGATGTGAGTCACGTGGTTGTGTTTACATTAGCAGCTATCTGGCTGATGTGAGTCCGTGGTTTGTGTTTCATTGTGTCTGCTGATGTGAGTCACGTGGTTATGCTTACATTGTATCTGGCTAGTGGGTCACGTCAGTTTGTGTTGTTGTGTCACCTGATGTGAGTCACGTGGTTGTGATGATGAGTCACGTGGATTGTGCTTACATTGTGTCACCTGATGTGAGTCACGTGGTTGTGTTGATGAGTCACGTGGATTTGTGCCCACATTGTGTCACCTGATGTAGTCACGTGGTTTTGTTTACATTGTATCAGCTGAAGTGAGTCACGTGTTTGTGTTTTGCTTTGTGTCAGCTGGTGTGAGTCACGTGGTTGTGTTGATGGAGTCACGTGGTTGTATTTACGTGTTTCAGCTGATGTGAGGTCAAGCCCGGTTGTGTTTTATTGTATCTCAGCTGATGTGAGTCGCGTGGATTGTGTTGATGAGTCACGTGGTTGTATTTACCACAATGTTTCAGCTGATCAATGAGTCAAGCGGTTGTGTTTACATTGTATCAGCTGATGTGAGTCACGTGGTTGTGTTCACCTTGTATCAGCTGATGTGAGTCACGTGGTTGTGTTTACATTGTATCAGCTGATGTGAGTCACGTGGTTGTGTTTACATTGTGTCAGCTGATGTGAGTCACGTGGTTGTGTTTACATTGTATCAGCTGATGTGAGTCACGTGGTTGTGTTTACATTGTATCAGCTGATGTGAGTCACGTGGTTGTGTTTACATTGTATCAGCTGATGTGAGTCACGTGGTTGTGTTTACATTGTATCAGCTGATGTGAGTCACGTGGTTGTGTTTACATTGTATCAGCTGATGTGAGTCACGTGGTTGTGTTTACATTGTATCAGCTGATGTGAGTCATGTAAGTGGCATTGTATCAGCTGATGTGAGCTTCATGGGTTATGTTTACATTTAGATCAGCTAGATGTGAGCTCACGTGGTTGTGTTTACATTGTATCAGCTGATGTGAGTCACGTGGTTGTGTTTACATTGTATCAGCTGATGTGAGTCACGTGGTTGTGTTTACATTGTATCAGCTGATGTGAACGAAGTAAATCGCATTTATTTACTTATGTTCGTATTGTATTTTATTATTATTATTATTATTATTATTATTATTATTATTATTATTATTATTATTATTATTCCACTTTCTTCTCTAAATATTATTCAATGTCTTTTTATCATTTATTTCCATTTATTCGTTATCAATTTACTCGGTCTCACATTCTCTCTCCCCTTTTAACCATTCTCCTTTCCATTTCCCTCTCACTTCCTTCCTTCCCTCTCTTCCCTCTCAAATCACACCTAGACGGTCTTCCCCTCTCACATTTACCTCACCTTCTCCTCTCCCTTCTTGTTCCTCTCTACTCTTCTTCTCAATTCCCCCTCCCTCCTCTCCTTCACCCCCTCTCCCATCTCTCCTCCTCTCTTCACCTCCTCTCTCTCTTCTCCTCCTCATCCCCTCTTTACTCCTCTCTCTCCCTGCTCCTCCTCCACAAGAAGCACACAACACAGGTCGTAACTCACGCCATAAAGGTGATGTTATCCTCTTCAGTAACGCTCTCCCTTCCTCTCTTCTCCTCTTCTTCTTCCTCTTCTTCCTCTTCTCCTACTGCTTTTATTCCTCTTCTTCCTCCTCCTCCTCCTCCTTGATTCCTTCCCGACGCTAGCCTCTCCTCCCCTTTATCTCATCACTATCTCCTCTACACTCATCCAGGCTTCCTTCTCCTCCTCCTCCCCCCCATCTTTATCAGCCTGACCTCTCACTTATTCCTCCCTTATCTTCCTCCTCCTCTTCCTCCTTCTTTCTTTCTTCTTTCTCCCTCGTTTTTCCCTGTCTCATGCTCCTCCTCCCTCCACCTTCTTTCTCCCCCTACTCCCTTCTCCCCTACCCTTCTTGCTATCCATCTCCTTATCCCCCCTCCACCCACTCCTTCTTTTCCCCCCTTCTTCCTCCCCTCTTCCTGTCCACCCTCCCCCACTCCCCTTCTCCCCCCCTCCCCCATTCTTCCTTCTCCCTCACCCATAGCTGAGGAGGAGACTTCCTGCCTGGTGTTTACTACAGCACTCTCTCAAAAATTTTCCCAACTCTGTACACAGGAGACATTATTACACACAACAGTTAATAAATATATATATATGTGTGTGTGTGTGTGTGTGTGTGTGTGTGTGTGTGTGTGTGTGTGTGTGTGTGGTGTGTGTGGCTGTAACCCCACCCATTTACATCCACTACTGTTTGTAATAGGCGGAGATACGGTGGTCGAGAATACGGTACTGTTCTCGCCCCTATGATCGCTGGTTTGATTCTATAGTTTTCCATTTACATCTACAATAAACTTAAAAACGGAACTTATTAATGAAGTTAATAGGAATGCGAAAGATTAGTTATTTTAGTCATGATTTAGAAAACATTTTGGTAAGTTGAACATGAAGCAGAATGCGCGGGAAACAGCTGGGTTTGTTTATATATTTCCCGCGCTTTTTGGTCTTAAGCGGTAGCCAGTTTTCTTTATTTTGATTTAATTTGTTTTTAGATTTTCATTTGACAGTAAATTTGGTGGTGGTGTTGTTATTATTGTTGTTGTTGTGATAAAAGTATCGTAAAACATAAATATACGTGATAATATAAGTTAAGTTTAATTATTTGTTAAATCTAATTATATTTGGTTTAGTTTGGTGGTTTAACTATATTTTATCCGAGGTGTTGAAATAAAGAGGCTGAGGAGGTATTATCTAGCAGCTACTGTGTGTGTGTGTGGTGGTGGTGACGTGGACGCTGACTCAGGATTCCCTCTGCATACATTACCGCCTCTCACACGCCCTAACTCACTCATACATCTTACACACACACTCTCTCCTCTCTCTCTCTCTCCCCTGCGTGCTGGAGTCGCCGTTTATTATGCCATTGTTATCCCGACAGAGGTTAATGTGCCCCCCTCCCACACCCCTCACACAACCCACAAGTATGACCTCTAGGGGTTCCACAGCCTATCACCACCTTCTCATCCAATAATAGTAGTAATTATATTGTTGTTTTTTGCCGCCAAATTACCACTATTTAGGTGTAAACATTAGCAGTTTTGGCGGGAATCTTGATGCCTTAATATAAAAGATTTAGGCGGGAATATTGTTAGGCTTAAGGAGAAAGTTTTGGCGGGAATATTTTTTTTTTAAGTTCTAGTAGTTTTGGCGGGAACATTATAATGCTTAAAGTAAAATACTTATTAATTTTACTTTTATCCTCTTTGCCACTGATCGGCTCGTTAGCCGCTTGGGCGATCGGTCACATCTCTGTCACGCACTGTTGGCAAGTACTGGGCATGCACCGGCTCCTGAATATATCAGAACTTGCTCCAATGTTGGTCAAGTCTGGCCTTGAATGAGCTCTCACTCGGTGCCGTCACAACACTGGCGTTCTAATCTCTCTGGATAGCTGAGGTTCCGTAGAGCAGGCACCAGTCCGGTGGCCCTCCTTTGAACATTTTCAATCATTTGACAATCTCTAGCATACCCCGGGGACCAGATGGGGTGACAGTACTCGAGACAGGGAAGCACCTCACTCTTGAAGATCGTGGTCCGTCTCAATAAATGCAGTTTCTTCGTCCCGTTAGGACATGTGATATGCCTTCTTACCGTTGGTACGCCCCAGGTGCATCCTCTTACACTTCGCGACATAGAATCTTAGCAGCCATTTCTTCGACCATTCTTGAAGCTCACAGAGGTCCTTCTGAAGCTCTTCACAGTCCGCTTGGTTCTTAATTTCCTGAAATAACTTGGCATGGTCCACAAACATTTGTATGGAGGAGTGTACAACGTCAGGCATGTAATTTATGAAACAAACAAACAACAACGGGCCCAATACACTGCCCTGTGGTACCCCGCTTGTCATGGGTACACGTGATGATTCCATATCAGGGCCGGGACTCTTGTGAATCTTTAGCTTTGACCGCTTATTTCTTATAACCTCTTCTGAGAACACACTGTGAGTCAGCTGTGTCAAACCAGCTGTCCTCAAACGCAGGAAGATTGTTCGCATTCACTCTTGTGAACACCGAGGAA